TTCATACCGTTTCACACACTGATGGTAGTGATCGCTATTTAGTATCATTCATCAGAAGTAATCAATCCCATTCATACACCGCCGCCAAAGCAGTGGGAGCAATTCGGGGTTATGTGTCTTGCCCAAGGACACAACGGACATGTTTGGATCGAACCCTCGACCTTCCAGTTGAGAGGCCACAACTCTACCAACTGAGCCACAACCGCCCCTGAATAGATTCTCCCTACTAAGCTTGTACCGTATTTTCCGCACTATAGGGCGCACTTAAAAGCCTTTAATTTTCTCAAAAAACGACAGTGCGCCTTATAATCCGGAGCGCCTTATATATGGATCAATTGGTTAATTGGTTGATCCATACTGGTTGTACACGGCGCTCAGCGACACTGACTCGGATAATGACGAGAGGGAGCCGGGCATGTTGGATGCCGTACTCGCCCAACTGTTCAATTCGGACACTGAAGAAGAAGAATTCGAGGGATTCGTGGACGGGGAATGAACTGAAAAAATGAGCTTTACGTGTTATACGTAACTGAACAATGTTGAGTTATGCACTAACGTTTGAATTAGCGGTATCAGACTGTGTTTCTTTTACGTGTTTACAACTGAACTAGGCTGGGAGATATTGTGAATATGCACATTAACGTTTGAACAACGTTGAGTTATTGTGAATGCACTATGTATAAAACGTAGTGCATTTATATAAATATAAACACGTATAAAACGTAGTTTTATACGTATTTATATTGATATATTCACAATATCTCCCAGCCTTGTTCAGTTGTAAACACGTTCTATTCTATGCGCCTTATAATCCGGTGCGCCCTATATATGAAAACAGTTCTAAAATAGGCCATTCATTGAAGGTGCGCCTTATAATCCGGTGCGCCTTATAGTGCGGAAATACGGTATACTGGGACAAGGACAGTAGCTCCAATTAGAGGGCCAAATCGAGCTGCAGTTCGACTTCACTGTGCATGTAAAAGAAGAAGGTAATTGAGGATTTGGCCCACCATGGGCCGTGAAATCATCAACAATGTTCCACATGTCTGTTTCAACAGACAAATAAGAGATCGCCAATTGCAAACCCCACATCAAATCCCACGTTTTGTATGCCTGAATTCAGGACATGTTGTCTTTGCTAAACGATAATTTTTACCACTGGTTGGGGGTGATATGGTGCATTCATAACTTCTTAGAGCTCTAATAGAAGCTAAAATGTAAGTTGCAATCTTACTATAGTCATAAATAAATCATATAGAGCATGTGCCTCCAACAGAACTCTGACAGGACGAATCACCATCAAGTCCTGTGAAGTTTGGCTCGAGAAATGACCGGCCATTCTTGACCAATCTGATGGTCTTAAAATCTTTATAGACGTCAGAGCAAATTCATCATGCGTTATTTGATAAACTGAATGAAAATTTAAAACGCTTCATCTCCAGAGTCGGCTGTGATGGTTTCCATTTTTATCACACATAAAATAAAAGAGAAACTGAAGAGTAGAAAGCAGTTTGTGGCTCCTTTTTGATCTTTTTTTAGGTATATGCGTGACTGTGTCTTTGAGTCGGACTCCATTTTTATAAGATTCAAACAAGAAAACACGGTTGGTCCATTGAAGACCTAATGATAGCTGTTCCAGAGTGGGAGAGCTGCAGCATCCTGCAGTCTCTCCTGACAGGTCACAGAGCTGACACTCTCTATTTTTACTGACTGTCCACTCGCTCTGCACCTATTTTATAATTCATCCAGTGCTCCCTAATGCGTTCAGCGTGTCTTAGACGTGCATGGACAGCCCCCAGAATATTCAAGAAGGTAAGAAAATAATGAATATTCATGTCCTGAGGGGCTTTTTACATCCTGACACTGAAGATGTGAGAACAGCTGGATACACACTCTGCAGAGTGGAAAAAAGGACGATCCAGGAGGAGCATTAGTGGGTTTTTATTGGCTTTCAAAGTCACACTTGTCATCCCTTTGCCAGAAAAGGTTTGCTTACATGCACTTATTTCACATCATATTAAGTTACGATAAAAAAAAGTAAATTTATGTTAATTTCAGCACCAATGAGCTCTGCAAAACCATGATAGGAAGTCAAATAGTCACATTTAGCACTGGGACTAACTCTATATGAAACCTCATACTGCAGATATATTGACTATTCTAGGAAAACCAATTTACAATGTCAAAGTAACCTCACCCACTGAATCGATGTCAATTAACCTCAATCTTATGTTGTTGTTGCTTATTTCACGTAAAGTAATGAGATACAAATGCATTTAATGTTTCTTTAATCGTTTTGGTGTATTTGAATCGGAAAGTAACTTCATACATTACTAGTTACCTGCAAATAGTAGTGGCGTTACAGTGACGAGTAACTTAGTAATGTGTTATTCCTAACACTGATAGCGACTACCCTCTACAGGTTGAAACCCGGCTACTGCAATACTGCAATTTTCCATTGGCTGATCTGGTGGCAGCTTTCATCTCTAAACCCAATAAAAACTACATCAACCAAAGTGGTTGCCGTGAATTATAGTGTTTGAAAGTTCATAAAGAGGGCTATTTGTTTAAAAACGTTAACGCCATAATATTTAGGGAGAGTGTGGGCGTAGCACAGAAAGCTCAGCTCAAAAGACCACTGCTGGGGTTACTTGTAATTGCTCGCCCTTCTAAAAACAGGGCAAGAAAGGACAGACAGAAGCAGAGAAGGCTGTGACCAGAAAGAGTTTATATAAGCAAGAGGACACAACAGAGCAAACATTCACAAAGCTTTTAAAGTAATGGCACAGCTGAGGGAGTGAAAGGGTCTGAAATCTGACGTCATGGGTGCTATCTTTTTGTTGCCTTGCCTCTTTACAGTTTTCATACTTAATCAGAACATACACAAAAGAGCAAAGAAGAACAGACTGGAGCCAATGTAGCCATTAAATAACGTTTGTGGACACCGTACCGTTCACCTGCTTACGATTTAGGGACATGCACCGATCGCAGGGAATAAACGTCCCCACAAACTCGCTCTCGCTCCTGATTATATCCTGTTGCGTTCTCACATCAGCGCACTCTAACTTTCTGCAGAAAGAAATATTAGGAGGCTAGCAGGAGAAACTTCGGATGAACTCTGAGAGAAAAAAAAAGTTGCTTGTTTGCATTCACACATACAGCTCACCCCGAAACCTTTAGGAGCTTTTCAGGAGTTTCTGCAGGTGGCACACTTGGAAGAGGTGTGCTTTGGCACGGTACAGTTCATGCACGGGCATGGGTACACAACATGGACAGCCTTCATTATGGACAAATCCCGGAGTGTTCTGGCTGTATCTGACTAACATGACTCACAATAAGCCACAAATTCAGTAAAGTAGCTGTCACATTCTCTGTATGGATGTGGACTCGACTACAGTTCCTTTAATTTATTTTTATTTTCGAGTCTTCCTGTCTTTTAAACAGCACGCTTCATAACATTACACCATTCATGTGTTGTATTATGACGTTATGTACAAGAGGTAACCATGCTCAGGCCCGGTTAGTCCTGGAGCAGTGTGAGTGCAGGCCAGCGGGGGAATGGGGAACCAATCATGCTTAAGCACATTACAGGACAACTGGGCCAAGTGTGAGTGCGCCCTGAAAAAGTATATGAGGTGCACAGTGATTGTTTCCAATGCTGCCAGACTTGCAGTTTAAATGATTTTAACTGCAAGTCAGATAGAAAAACTGCTCTCCTATAACCCCTATAATATTTATATTTGGGATTACAGCATATAAATGTTGCATGCCTGGATAGTTTACATGATTTTCTGGCACAAGATTTAACTGTATTTGCTGTGCTAAACAAATGATTTCCATTGCTGACCCTTTGCCTGTAAAACAAACCAATAAACATCTGTACCAGCCTGTAAGCAGAGCCCACTTCTGTAGCAGGACGAACTGAAGGACCAGATTCTCTCACTCAGGCCAAGAACTGTGACTGAAACCAAACGACTCAATCAATAATTCTCGTGCTAAATTTCCAGACCAAAGTGTCTCCTCCCTCAGATGTAAGACTTCAAAGGGGGAGGACATGAGTTTTGCCCACTTGCCTGGATTTTAGTGTTAATTCTTAATTACTCATAGTTGTAATTAAGATTAAACACGAGGCCTTTCAAAGGGAGGCGAGCTGCAGTCATGACTCCAGCAGTGCAGAGGCAATTATGGGAAAGAAACAGATAGTTCAGTTCCAGGCTAGATGTAAAAGGATTTGTGTGACTGAAGGCTGAGTAGGTAGGATGTCTGCTGTGTGAGGGCTGGAACATATTGTTCATTCTTTAATAAAGTGAGTTTTCTCAGGCATCAGAAAAAATAAATGCTTTGCTCTTTTGTAACATGAATGCTGGATCTGTTACGGAGGGAACTGAATTTTCAATTTGTGCATATTAACAATGAGCTTAGCTGGGAGTTGAGTTATGTAAGGTAATAGTGCTTTAGAGATAGATAGATATAACCTATTCTTACTTTCAAGTTACCAAATGCAGCAGCTGAGTCAGCAGCCCTAGACTTCGATATCCGACCATGTAGGAACACTTCAGCTTCACCTTTGCTCTGTCTGGGTTTGGTTGACAAGTTAGCTAAAATATAAACAGCATTGAGTACAGAGGAACAGTTAGAGGGGGAGACAAAAATAAGATTATTTCCAAATTGCAGGAACCCCAAGTGGACAAAAATTCACATATATATTTTGTAATTTTGTATTTTCTTTCTCCAGATCTCAATTTCTTGATCTCATATACCTAAAATAAAAAAAGCACCAAACAAACATTTGGACACACCCCTGCTGACAATGCAGTATCTTCACTCAGGAGACAAGGGTTCAAGACCCAAGAGAAATCAAAAGTAATCACTCATCGTTCCAGCCCACCCCATGATGCATTTATTGACCTTAATCATGTCTGAGCAGAAGACGCGACCTGGGATGAGAATGTGTTTGAGGTGTCTGAGTATTTGACAATACTCTCTTTTGTTTCTTTCAGGATCACAACAACAGCCGCCTGCATGATGGACCTGCGCAGGTACCCACTGGACGAGCAGAACTGCACCCTGGAAATAGAGAGCTGTGAGTGGCACTGAGTTTGTCTTTGTGTTTGTGAGTGAATTAGCAATAAAAGCCACGTAGCAAAGTTTGTACAAATACTCTAAAATGGTCTCACACCTGCGGATTGGTTCAGTATGTATGCACCAAGTGAAGCAAGTAAATCACTGGTGCTTGTTTTGGATCTAACTGAAATCCTCCATCAAGGAGACCTGTAAAAAAATATGCTGTGTTAATTTAATATATTTTGGTGTGATAACGTAGCCTTGACTCTGACTTTCCCACATTGTACAAAACCAAACATTTCAGGTCTTTTATCCCCAAAAGAGAAATAGGTTGGTTTTGCATCATCATCATAATAGACCTTGGTCCATTAATACGCTGAAATGTTGATGTTCATATTAAACTTTGCCTTCTCCGACAGACTGCTGTCGGTGAAACACTTGGACAGCTGTAGCCTCAGTTCTCAGACTTCTCAGCCACACCAGAGCTCATAAAAAACACATTTAACTTTAATCAGCTCTAAATGCGGCTCTTTGGAATCTCTCCACCTCTTGTTCTGGTTCACACACTGCCTCGGGTTAGAATGTGCTTCTCTCCTAAAGACTCTTTGGTCACCGAGGTCAGGCTGCACTTTACGTCAGCTAATGCTAACTGGCATGTCTTGTTCAATCAGACCTGGCTGGAGTGGTTCACTTAAATAATGGATACTACCCACATGCATAGTTAAAGTTCTACACATAATAAATGCATAGAAACTCTCAGAGCTCAGTTTAAGGTGAAAGTCTACTAGTCATGGTCGGACATCTGGATAACACAGTTTTTATTGCGCACTAACAATTATATTTGGTGAAAATACTGACATTTTCTGAAGCCATTTCGGAAATGCTAACATCCTCATTTTGCATCTTGAGATTATTTTGCAGAATCGTACCAGCAGTGCCTACATGTACCAGGATGCAGCCGCTGCCTCGGCCTCTCTCAGCTGCTGCAGGCTATCTGAGACAGACCAGTAAATATCCTTGTCTACGGTCCCTCAGGCTAAATGTTCACGTTATGAGAAGATGCTGGTGCTGAAAAGACATCAAATCTTTCTCATACTAATTTCTTTACTTAGAAAGAGAGAAATTGGGTCAGAAAATGTAACCATTCCAAATGCAAAAATAAGTAAATAAATGTCAGTTAGATGTAATTCCTGGCACTTTGGGAAATATAGCATTAATATGCCCTTTGGATGGTTCAATTTTGTGCGGGAAAAAAACTAACAATTCAAGGAACATGTGTCCTATTTCACTTTTCAGAGTCTATAAACAACACAAAAAACAGCCCTGTCCTGTATTTGGGATTTGTTTGGAATCTTATTTTGTTGGACACTTCTTGTTGCGACTTATTTTCAACAAACCATATATTGTTCTTAAGAGGCCACTGAGGGGTGAACTTTGATCTTGTTTTACTTGTCAATGCAACACATCCAATGCACCGTTGAATCCCCTGAAACATCTTGAATACTGTCAAACCTGACTAAGTATCAGGATGATTATTGGTAGATATGTTTTCTATTGAATCAGCATTTTTTTTTTTAAGTGTATCAAGAAATTATTACTGGCTTTAATTAAAATATTTTTCAAGGTGAAAGTTGGAATCACAATACATTATTCCAGGCAGACCATTTACATTTTATTTTTTCATTACTTATTGAGCTAATTTGAGCATTGAAATATTTTATGCATGCTTATACCCTTACATTTAATTTTTTTTTTTTTCTAGTACTATTCAGATATTCACTTATTGGGAATGCTGTGGCTGTGGCTCAGTTGGTAGAGTCGGTTGTCTCCTAACCAGAAGGTCAAGAGTTCAATACTCAGCTCTTGCAGCTAACTGTCCGACGTGTCATTGGAAGGACACTTAACCCCAAGTTGTTCCTGCTGCTTAGTCTGTGGTCTGTGAAAGTGTATGAAGTGGATTAGTTACTTCTGATGGACTCTTTACACAGCAGCCTCTACCATCAGTGTGTGAATGTGTAGGTGTGACATGCAGTGTAAAAGAGCTTTGATGAGGCAGAAGACTCTTGTTAAAGATGAAATGTCAGACACTAATTAAGAGAGGGATATGACATGAACAGGGTTTAAATTATGCTAATGTTGCATTTTTTTCATGTTGCATTCATCAGTTAAGTGTTAATACAATGAATAATTAATTATAGAATACGTTTATGCATATAAACTGCACCTTGATCTAATGATTTAGACTCTCGGCTTAAAGTAAACTGTCTTGTTTTAAAATTATCTGTAATATAAAATATATTAATTGGATAAGAAAAAGAAAAAAACAGAGGGCAAAACCGTAATGAAGCCCTTCCAGTAATGAGCAGCAGCTAATTCCCTGAAATCCTGCAGCTGCGTTCAGATAAGATGCAGAATCTGAGGCCAGAGACGAGCTGGCCTAATTAAATTGGTCTAATTACTGACAAGGGTAGCGGGGCCTGTTCCGCTCAGGTCCAGGCTTTAGACATAGCCCAGAGACCTGCCAGAAAAAGTTAAAGGAGGGCTTTATTGTTGTTCCAGTTGAGCCTGTGGGAAGCTGGAAGCAGCAGTTGAACAGAGAAATGAGAGGCCTACTTTCTGTCGTCTCTCACTGATGGTGTAACAAAGATTTCTTGTCTCTTCGGTTCCTCTTCTGGAACAAAGTGCGACATTTCCTTTGAAGAGTGCATGATGTTCCAGACTCTGGACTGGTTTTTCTCTGTAATAACTATTTTTTTAATTCTGGGACTGCGACAACGTTAAGGGAAGGAGTTTGGTGTGCACATTGATAACTGTCACTGTTAGCTGTAAAATCCTTTAGCCACATGTGTAACATAAGGATTTATTAGATTATGATTTCATTTTGTTTGTAGTCGGAAAGCCAATGAATTAATTTCAAGAGCGACTGTGAAAAGTTAACCAGATATTTTGGTAAGACCAGAGTGCCTTTACGTTCTTCCTTGTTCTGTACGGAGTGAAAACACCAAATTCAACCCAGCAGCTCTGAAAGTGCCCTGAATGGTCTGTTCCAGATGTTGAGCCTGTTCATGTACAGTTGATTTTTGCCCTGAGCCAGATGTTTTTGTCCTTGTGTTTCTGTGGAGATTTTAACATGTTGTCTTCCTCTGCCTCTTTCAGACGGCTACACCACCGATGACATCGAGTTCTACTGGCAGGGAGGGTCTACCGCTGGCTCGGTCACCGGGGTGGAGAACATAGAACTGCCTCAGTTCTCCATTATAGACTACCAGACCCTCTCCAAGAAAGCTGTATTTGCTACCGGTAACACAGTCATACCAGTATCCATTCTCACCGTTTGACCTGAACATTTTAAGTTAAGAAAAGAACACACAATAATGAACAAAGCACAGCGAATATTAAATTGAAGCAATTAAAGTTTCATGGATGACACATATTAGATTCACCACTCTGCTGCTCTGACTCTCTCTGCGTACAGACATCCAGAATAAGAGTGGTACTGGCAGTCTGTTTTTTGACCTCCCAGAGGAAAAAAAGTTTTAAACTGTCTGCTTGATGATTTCTTCACTTTCAGCAAAGTTCACTTTCTGTGCAGTTGTGCAGCTCTTTCTAGTACCATGTGGAGTTTGCAATCTTGCTTAGCAGCCAGTACGGTAGTTGAGTTCTCAGCCTATATGGTAACATTAATAGTTAAAAAGTACAGACCGTGACAGGTTTGTATGAGAGTCACGCTGTTCACCTCCGCTGATCACTTGAGTCTTTTCAATCAAACCAGCCCTCAACTTAAACTTCTGTTACCACCATTTTCTTTAAATGCAGGATTATGATCTAATGAGGGAGAAAAGCTCTTAAAAGTAGCGTTCGTTTGGTCTACAACGCTTTGTATCCCAGGAGACTTTGTTGTGCAGTGAAGCCTCCTCTTTGAAATGGTTCGGGTCCAAGAGGTTTATGTTGTTTTGGAGAGTGTCAGAGACAAAAACGATATGATAGAAATGACACAGCAAAAGTTGAACTTTTTTGTGTACTGTGAGAGCTGCAACAATAACAGCTGACACCGAGGGCATTTTTGTTCTTAGGACGCTGAGCACTGAAAATGTTCAACTGCATTACATTTGTTTGGAAAAAAGGTGTCGCCATCGCAAAGTAAGTTGTCAGCGGACACAAGGCCCTCACTGGTCCATGATGCCTCAATCTGTTTGATAGTTTTAAGTCACTGCATGACTCGGCTGTTTTGAATATTTACTCGGGATTCAGCACAGTTTTAGTGGAACAAATACGCAAGGTAAACATTATGTAACATTTATTATAGTTGTTGTGGACTTTGAACTGGTAAAATGTCCTTTTTGAAAGGATCTGAGGTGGCCCTGATTAAGTTTATTTGACCTTCATGTTGGCATCTTTAGAGAACACACACTCAGGTTATATCAACCAGTTACCCAGTGTTAATGTACCTCTAAAGACAGCTTCCTGTTTAAATTCAGTTTCTAAAAATAGCCTGCTTCTAGCTATGTCTCTTCAACTTGCATAATCCCATACTGTGTCTTTCACAGGTTCTTACCCTCGTCTGTCTCTGAGCTTTAAGCTGAAGAGAAACATCGGATATTTCATCCTGCAAACCTACATGCCCTCCACCCTGATCACCATCCTGTCCTGGGTCTCCTTCTGGATCAATTATGATGCCTCGGCTGCTAGAGTCGCTTTGGGTCAGTGATGTTTTAATTCTTTACAGATTGGAAATCGTGTCTTGTGGTATGGAATTTGGTCACTCTTTATGGCCATGATGTCTTTATTTGGTCAGGGGGTTTGGTACGACTTATAGACTAAAATATTACAAAACTTTTAGGTGGATTGCAATTAGATATTTTACAGGCATTGTTTTTACTGCTGAGTACAGCATGTTGTTGTAGGTATGATTTGCCACCATATTAGTGAAGAACGATCCTCGTCTACTTGTCTGCAGGTATAACCACGGTGCTGACCATGACCACCATCAATACCCACCTTAGGGAGACTCTACCCAAGATCCCCTATGTCAAGGCCATTGACATTTACCTGATGGGTTGCTTTGTCTTCGTTTTTCTGGCATTGTTGGAGTACGCCTTCGTCAACTACATCTTTTTTGGGCGAGGTCCGCACCTGCAGAAGAAGGTGGCGGAGAAAGCTGCCAAGACCAACAACGAGAATAAAAGCAGACTGGAGAGCAACAAAGTGCAGGTGGGACAGAGCCTTTGTGAACACTTTGAAAACTTCGGCAGCTATTATAGCCTAAGTCTTACAGACTGTCCTAACAGCATGCCAGCGTTATGTATCGCGTCGCTGGCTGTCCACACTGCATCCTTTAAATATATAATTATTTTCTCTGTGAATTTCAGTTCCCCTTTCAAACATTATAACATCTGGTACTTTGTATTTCGGAGCTGACTCAAATCACAACTCATTGGCTCGTCAATAAATGGCCCTTGGTGAGCCAAAAAAAGTTTTTCTCCGGTGTTGTTGACAGCAACAAGTCAAAGTCAAAGCACAACCTTTCAATCATGGATGAGGATACTATTTATGCATCGTTATGTCCCCTCTGTACAACAAGCTAACGAGCTCTGTTGAGGGAGAAAACTGAGTGTTAGTGACGTGTAGAGCCCCCTACTTCCTCTTTCTCTGCCCGTCTATGCAAGCGTCAGAGAGGAAAATGGAAACGGGGCTTTGGGGTTAAAACGGTGTGACTCGCTCGCTGCGTCGTTCGCTGCGTCGTTCGCTGCGGCGTCGCTCGCTGCGGCGTCGCTCGCAGGCAGTTACGAGACTCCAATAGGAAGCAAAAGCTTCAGGCTGATTTTGTCGAGTCGCGTGCTGACAGGACAGGCTGGTAGTTTAGACAAAAGACAGAAACACATGTATTCCAGTTTCAGACAATAACAAGTCATTACATTTTAGTCATTGCTTTTAGTCAAAGTGTTTTCTCTCTTCTAACTTATTCAATCAGTCAATCACAGGTATCAAAACGCTGGCAGGTTGTATCGGCTGCTTTTCTCATCTTATAAATGCATAAAAAACCTTAAAACACAGGAAAAACAATATAACGGCAGCACACACACGCTCCTCCCCTCTCCTGCTTTTAGGTTGACGGACAGATTGGATGCACAGTGGGAGAAATATCATGTATTTTTAATGTCCAACAGCCCACCACTAACATTTTTGTCCCATCTGGTCTCGTTAACGAAAACAAAACAGACCTGTCGTCATCAAAGATCTATTTTTAGCTCGTCAACATCTTATCTTCTTCACGGAAAGATGGTGTTTTACTTACATTTGTCGTCATGTTAAAGTAACACTGTTTGTAAAGTTTTCATGTATGTTTGGTTTATAAGATTTCAGAGCTAATATACGGTGAACAATTCTATCCTATCCTTCGTTCTGCATCTTATCCCATCTCGCCCTGTCCCATTTTTCAAGCCCGACGCAGTTTTGTTACATGGCTGTTTCATAATGAGTCTGGATTTCCCTGAGATTTCTGCCTCTTAAAAGGATGTTTTTTTCTTGCCACTGTAACTTTGCTAAAAGTTAATGCTGAGCTCATGATGGCTTAATGTTGGGTCTTTATATAACAAAGAGTAAGGTCTTTTGTGAAGTGTCTCGAGATAACATTTGTTATGAATTGCCGCTTTACAAATACAGATTGATTGATTGAGAGTGAGGCTGCTACGCAGGGAGCAGGCCTGAGCGGTTGGGGGTTCGGTGCCTTGCTCAAGGGCAACTCAGCAGTACTCAGGAAGTGACCTGGCACCTGCAGCTACCAGACCAACTTCCACATTATGGTCTGCACTGGGACTTAAACCAGAGTGCCCTCCGCTTCCCAACCCCAGTCCCTACAGACTGAGCTACTGCCGCCCCAAAAATGTCCTCTACGTTAATGATTATTCCAAAATTTTAAATTACAACCCATCCCTTATCCTCCCTAATGGTTATTGACAGAGTGTCAAGATACTTGGAGATTTAACCTATACAAATATTTACTGTTGGGCTATCACCATATACATTTTAACACCTATAAATGTCCTATACACCTATAAAGTCCTGCAAAAGTTTGGACTCCAAACCAGAACAAGCTCTTCTTTTTGCCTGTGATTGAAAGTTGTATGTGCTGGAAACCAACACACTCTTTAAAATGATGTTGAGTGGACTTTGTGGAATAATCCTACTCTACAGATGATATAAAATAGTGAAGAAGAAGGTGCTAAAACATGGCTTATACACCCACAAGATTACTATGAAACAGAAGGGATGTCTGTCTGGCAATACATCTGCATGTAGTAGTCCTCTCCCTGGCTCTCGGGTTGCTAAGCCTAAGAATAAATCATTTCCCTGGGAGATGGGAGGAGTGATAGCCAGAGCCCAGAGGCCTGTGATTTGCAATGCTACCGGCTGGCCTGAGCTACAATCCGGGCAGAGCGCCTAATCAACCCCTGGGCTTAGTAGGACGCAGCAAAGAAAAGCTGTGAATAGTAAAGTTAGCAACAAACCTCCCCAACAATGATGTATAACTTTAGAGAAGATTTACGCCACTGCTGCAGGAGGCTGGATCTGTGTCAGATGACCTAGATAACCTCTCATTAACACACAGCAGGGTAAGGGCTGACAGTAATTCAAGAGGTAAGGGGCCACAGGGAAAGCTAACGACTTGGCATCAAACGCTGATTATGATTTTTCTGTAAAAGATGTGAAGGCATGGCCATTTAGAGGACCAAAATATTCTGTTTCCCCAAGGATATCGCCCATGCCCCAACTGAAACATATCCACATAACCCTGCTGCTCAACCAACTTTGAAAAACATCACTGTTCACTTTTATTTATTTCAATTAATGCAGCCTTCATACAACCAGGTAAACCTTGTTGGGATAAAAAATCTAATTCCAAAGGCATTTCATTTTATTCTAGAGGAGTCTTAATCTGACTTTTAGGATGTTGCGGGATTTCTTACTTAACTAAGAAAACACATTATGCTTCTTTCAAAGCTTAGTAAGGGAAAGTGTTTGAAGAAGATGTGCTGATGTTTTACCTAAATGGTTTGTGGGTCTTCATTACCCGGTTGTTGGTACACAAGCTTTAACTTTTAAAGAAACTTAAAAAAACAATTGAATAATGTCTGATAACCTCCTTCCACAGGTTGATGCTCATGGTAACATCCTACTGACCAACCTAACCAGTGACATGAGCGGAGCAGAAATGATGGGCGCTCTCAACGACCCCCGGGCCACCATGTTCTCCTACGACAGCGCCAGCATACAGTATCGCAAGCCCATGACCAGTCGAGACCTGTACGGACGACCGGCCATCGACCGGCCGATGGGCCACAAGAAGGGCCGGTTGCGAAGGAGGGCCTCGCAGCTAAAAGTCAAGATCCCGGACCTCACGGATGTCAACGCCATAGACAAGTGGTCCCGTGTCGTCTTTCCTATCGCTTTCACCTTCTTCAACCTCGTCTACTGGCTTTACTACGTCCACTAGAGAGGGGAAAGAAAGCCTGTGTGGCAGCACTGCTGCTCATTGTGGGTTTTAAAGCTACCTAGGTCTTGTACAGGGATGACTATAGAGGAGCATTCACTCCATTTGTATAAATCCGGTTTTGGAATGAGTAGAACTGGATATCTTTTCAATGTAAATACAATTGAATATATATAATATATATATAATACATACAGAGGTATAATTTATTAAAAATCACTTTTGCTGTACTTATCCACACAGAATAGATATAGATAAAATATTATAAGGATTTTAAGACACAGTAAAGGTTCACAGCTATGTCCAAACTTGCCAAACAGACTTTGGTGACTCCAACATAACCGGCAATGATCTTTGATATGGTCTGTTTCTTTATCTTTACCTTCTGTTATCTCACTTTTTGCATGTGAATGAAACACACATTTTATTTGCTTATAGGTAATACAAAAAAAAAAGAAAATGAAGCCCAGTACAGAACAAGAAGATAACTAATAACAATAAAACATTTTTTTTACAAGATCTTGAGATTAGAGCTCATTCAGCCAATAAGCAAAAGCCGTACGGTTCAGTTCCATCGTAATGAAGAAGTCCTTCTTTGCTTTAAGCGTCGGTATGTATCATTGTGCTGAAATCCTTTTGCACTGTTATACAAACTCAGTTTTCTTTCTTTTCCTTCAAAAAGAAAAGAGAAGCTTTGCATGGCTCCCTGGGCCCCTCTGTATTATATTCATTATACGGTATGCTTTTAAACAGTCATTGCATTTAAGGTCAGAACAGGGCCAGTGTTAATCGGAACTCCACTCAAGTAGTCAAATTTGTACCTGCGGTATCTCACAACATCTGTGACAATGTACACTGTTAATTAAAAAATGATTTTAAATAAATCAGGTAAAGAATGACCAATGATGTCACCACATGTTCAGACTCACATCCACAAATTTAAGCCCTGATAAAACACGCTGCTGGGGTTGAAACTCCAGGTGTAACAGGCTACTATAATGAACAGTTTTGTCCAGAACTTAAAATTATTCTTCCCCTTGCACAGAGCTTTAGCTCACCTTTATTTGTTATATAGCCAGGGGCGTGTCCAGGCTTGTCTGTCTAGGGGGGCCCAACTGGGGCACAGACTTATGTAGGGGTGGACTTAATGACTAACGCCACTAATCTAATCTACTTTTATGTAACCCGAGAGTCGTAACATATTGGCCTACTTCTTTACGGACTTAAAAACAAAAATGTTCAACGTCACGATTTAAACTAATCAAAATCCTGATTTCAAACTCCTGCACTTTGTCTAACTTGCAAAGAAATTGATTGGCAATGTTTCAGTACTGAAAAATATTGCTTGTTAGTTCATTACAATACAGTGTTATGCACCTGTCTTATAAAACTGATATGCAGCGTCTTTATTTACAATTTATAGAGCATAAAATATGCTACATGTAAATGTCAAGAAAAAAACTTGCAGCATGTTCCAAAAAAAAGCAATAATCATAGTGTTAACAAACGAGGCAAATAGCCAATCATAGTTTAGTATTTTTGTGGTGGCACCTAGGGTGGCCAATCAGATTTCAAGGGAGTGGGGGAGGGGGGCAATGCCACCCCTGGCTCCCCCTTCTAGACACGTCCCTGGGCACAGCTAAAGAATTAGAACAAGGATTTTGTCACTCTTCCTTTTCCGTGGATTTCTTTGGTAATCAGGGGCTGAGGGCCAGTTGTAGAACCTAAGTTGAAATTTAGAGTTCAAACTAGTCTCAAGGATGCAAAAAAACCAGCAACATTGATATGCATAGCACAACCAGTCCTCTGTCAAAAGGAATTTTGAGATTACGTGGATTCCTGGGTAAAACATTTGAGTTGTTAGATGGTGACCACAACAACACTCTGTTAGTCTATTCTACATTATCACACAAATTCCCACATATTGAATGCCTAGAACAGTTAACCTGATGTTTCTTGCAGACAGAGCCCAATTGTTGCATGATTACTTGGGGTATAGAAGTAGAGATAATAACTTTTGTCAGAAAAGTCGGAACATTAAATGTGCAAAACCAGATGAGTTAAACTTTTGAAACTTGTCCTTTAAAGGTCATGTATTATGCAAAATACTCTTCACAATGTTTTTCAAACACTAATATGTGTCTCTAGTCTGTCTACAAACCCCCCAATTATGAGAAAAGTCCATCCTCTCCATCTTTTGCCTGCTCCACTGTTCATAAAATGTGTGCTCAAACAGGCCGTTTGGAGATTTTCCCTTCTGACATCACAAAGGGCAGTAACCCCTCCCCCAGGTGGGTGACACTCCCACAGCTAGGTGTTTGTTCTGCCCTCTGAGTCTGCCTTCTCACTGTAAACAATAGTGCATAGAGCGAGAAAGTGTGAGCCACCCAAGCCCTTCCAGAGAGGGGGCGTGGTCAGACACAGCTCATTTACATTTAAAGGTACAGACACAGAAACAGCCTGTTCTGAGCAGGGCTGAAATAGAGGGGTTTATAGACATGATCAAATACAGGATCAAAGTGGATTTAGAACAAGAAACTTCTCAGACATGTTTTGGGGAGCTCTGAGACTTATTTTAACTAGTTTAAAAGGAGGATAATATGTGACCTTTAAAACCTGTCTTCACAAATGTCCCCGTTTTATTTGAAATAATTTATCTGCCAGGAAGTGTCACCAAAACTACAAGACAGGGAAAATAAAAAGACACAACAGAAACTACAGATTTCTCAAAGATTCCCCCCTTTTGGACAAACTATACAGTATAATAATAACAACTTGATGGATAAAGTGAACTGCTTGTCTTATCAGGGCTTAAAAACTAAACAGGAAAACAATAGGCTTCTACAGGACATAGAAAAGTAGCATTGTCCTCTCTCCTCATGGCTGAATATTGTGCCTTTACCAAGATTCTCAATATTTTCACAGGGTTAAACTTAACTTCTATCTAGCGAGTAGAATTGAACAACAGGTCATCTTGTACTTTTTTTAGGATTAAGGAGAACCAGAGACAGACGTGGACTCTTAAAGATCTTTTCTGAGGCTCTACAGTACAGTACCATTATCTAAGCGTAGATTGTAGTAAGACATTCCAGCATTATGATGACAATCTTTCGAAAATTCAATGCTGAAAAATAATCTCCTGCAAGGTCTCCGTGATGTAAGTGATGCTGTTTCTGGAGCAGAGAGCGGAAGCAGCGGACAAAACAACAAAAACAAGTCGGCTTTCACAACAAAGGACCCGGAGCAGATGGACACATGAATTCTGTGGACGGGTGAGCTAATGGAAGCCCTGAAAACCCAGTTTGCCCAGCGGCTGTAAAGGGGGGGAGGACGTGTGCTGGACTCGTATTGTGTAAAATTACTGTACAATTTTTTCTCTCATGCTCTATATGTGCTCTCAAGTGGAATGGGGTGTGGGTGTGTTTGCATGTGTGTGTCTTTCTGCTTGCTTACAGGCCAACATAAGACACTGTGCAGGACTGGTTGTATGAATGTGTGTGAGAGAGTGTGAGTGTGTGTGATAGAGAGAGAGAGAGAGAGAGAGAGAGTGTGTATGTGTGTGGGAGAGAGAGAGAGAGGGCGAGAGAGAGAAAGAGAGAGTGTGTGTGTGTGTGTGTGTGTGTGTGTGAGAGAGAGAGGGAGCGAGAGAGAGTGTGTGTATGGGAGAGAGAGAGTGTGTGTGTGTGGGAGAGAGAGAGAGAGTGTGTGTGGGAGCCTATGGATGTGTGTGAAAGGGAGGAAACACAAAATATAAATTCTTTGTGTCAACTTATAGAGACGTCAAAGAATTTAGAGTTTAAATAAAATTGCTGACAGCTCTACCGACAACACTAACGAGTCTCTCTTTGCTGATTTATCAGTGGAAAATGTGTTTGTAAGTTGTTGTTTTATGAAACATAAAAACTGATAAACACGCTGAGAATTGGGTCGAGTTGCAGGCCGGGTGATACAGATAACATATAGAGATAGGATCAAATATGGGATTTGTTAGAACAGGCTAAATTTAGATTTGAATCAGTCTGATAGTGTTAATGGTATCTGCTATTAAGGGGACTTTAATCATTTATAAATCATTAAAAAGGCCTAATTAAGGTTGTTTCAGTGCAAGATATGGCCAAGGAGCTGCCAATTCTATAAGTCTGTCTAAAGCCAAACATTAAAACGTATTGATGAATTCAATTAATGCAAATACTTGTATTTGTTGACAGTATTGGGTCAACATTTACTCCACTGCATGTTAAGGTTTGTCTCAACTCGGCTAGGCCCTGACTCCAAATGTCTCACTACGCCATTTGCACGGTGATAGGATGGCTAATCCTCTGTAGTGTGAGGATTTCAACAATGTGTGTTAACAGCAAACAATATTACTACCTACCTCTGATAAAGTTCAGACCCATTTCAAAACTGAAGTTGAGGATACATCCTAGAGTTATTTTTCACTGCACGGGGAGAGGGCTGTTTCTGTCTAACGGTACAGCTCCACTGGTTCTGACGACAGATATCGTCTCGACGCTTTTCTATTCATTTTCTATGGAGAGTCGTGCAATGCATTATGGGATCTTTGCGGCGCATTTTGACTATAGGTTAGACAACATGTTCTAAGGGATTGACTGAGCCCAGGGACCACAGATGCAGCTTCATAAACTTTATTCACACTGCCCTTTCAAGGCTTGATATTTAGGTCCCTGTGATGTTTCGCCTTTAATGTGAATGTTGCAGAAGTGTAATGGGGGACAAGTGATCCCTCCTTTGTGCCGCCTTTGAAGGTAGAAATTGGGGATCGGCAGAGCAAAAAAATCCACTGACTGAATATGGTGCATTTCCTTTAAGCAATAAGGTTTATTAGGTCTCATGTATGAGGGAAGAAAGATGCACCAAGCTTTCAAAAAACTTGACCAACAACAGCTTTGATTCAGGCCGGCACTGACTCATCATGTTTCATTTCCCGCTGAACACTGCAGACCTGAAGGGCCATTGTCTTTGCAGAGACTGAAGGTCAGCAGAGAAACTGTGCCGGCTGGAAGAGAAGCCATTAGTCCAGTTAGCATGTGTGCAGCTGACAGCAGCAGTGCTCATTCTCATGATTAATGTGAAGCTCTGGAGTGAAGACTGATGCCATTAGCACATTAAGCTCCACCGTGTCTGTCGGCAGTTGTGCTTGTTCTCATTATTAATCATACAGCCGGCTGTCTAATCGACAGGAAGGCTTCAGCCCGGACACAGACGTCACACCTGGACTCACCCAGAGTGCACTGTGACCTTTCTGATTCTTAAACTCTTAAATTCACTTATTTTGCACCTCTATCTATTTTTATGGCTGCCTTTGCCTCCAAGACCTCCAAAAGTGGCTGTATGCTGAGCAACGCCTCTCCGCCCTCACCTATGGACATCAGACCCCCACTGCAATGGGCGCTGATGTCATGTGGTGAAGCCATGGTATTCACGTACCGCCCCTTCTTCTAGGAGAAAACATCAAAGATCCCTCAAGTGGGTTCAGTCGACATCGCACAGATCGTTATGTCGGTTTGAAACAGATAACTACAGGTATGGAAAGTTCAGTGACTCGTGTGTTAGTTTTTGTTACTTTTCCCCCCGTCACCGCTCCTCCTCTAGAGCTGTCAATCATGGTGTTCTAATCCTTTTTACAGCATCAAATAACTAAATTAAACTAAACTTCTCAGAAAAATAAACACATGGACTTCAAACACCATGAAAAGAACAAAACATGTTTGAGAAGAAAATTATTTGACCTGTATTTTGATTTAACAGTTTGACGCTTGTCCCATCTGTTAACATGGAGAGTCTAGTGTGAATTAGTTGAGCCATCTTTGTAGTTTGTAGTACGATTCTGATTTCTCAAAGAGTCCCTGGGGTTAATGTATATTGTTTATTTAAGGAAACATGCAATGACATTAACATCAACCTTTGTAGGTGGGTATTAACAATCACCATCCTGGAGCCTGAGAGCTTTTATTTTGAATATAAGAAGCTCACAAAGCTACAGGGGTCACGGCTTTATGGCACCAGGTGAGACGGCGTGAGACGAGAGGGGTCCAGGTTGGATGTGTGAAACTAGCAGGGAAAGGGTGCAGGTGGCCTAGTAGTTAAGTCACACCCAATGTACGGAGGCTTTAGTCCTCCAAGAGAGCAGCCTGGGCTCGAGACCGGCCTGTTGCTACTTTCCTGCATGTCACTACCCACCTACTCTATCCACTGTCCTATCTAATAAAGGAACCCCCCACCCCCCTCGAAAAAAGGTTATATTCAGGAAAATTTGTTTTGGGAAGGGGTGATGATTTTTAAAGGATGCAACCGGTGAGCAACCGTCATGTGTTTTTGCCACTCATTCATTGATACACTGAAAACATCTGATTACAAGAAGCTTTAATATAATTAAACTGTCATCATAGCGTCGGACTCTGTTGCTTCGTACATCATGTCCTGCAACCTGAGCCCCCCCGACACACACACACTTCCATATGACAGGTATGGTCTCCAGCTGTGTGAACAGAAAAGTCAGGGGCTGTCAAGTAATTACAACAGAATCTAAAAGCAAATACTCTTTATTTTTTGACATACTCATGATACAAGACCACATCACAAAAACATAAAAGTGTTCAGTCGCTCGAGTTAAACTCAAGTTTAAGGACAGAGCTTCATCAACACTCCTGCAAACAGTCATTTTAAATCTGCCATGTGAATCACAGGAGAGCGTGTCTCTAACTTTCTGTTTTTTTACTTTTTGTGATTGACGACTTTAAATGGGATCAGTGGTCCATAAATCTGTCCATCATTTCAGCTGCAGCACCGCCTGAAAGACACATCAACATTTCATTATCAGCATCTCCTCTGACTGGTCAAGTTAAAGGAAAAACAGGGGGACTAACTTTGACTAATTTAATCCTAATTATTTAACAGATTGTTTAAAGTCTAAAGGCCTGTGTCATTATTCCTGTACTGAATCACTCAGATTACATTTCAAATACATCATTTATAATACATTTTAAGGATTCTTCTCAATTTTAAGACATTTTTTCCCAATACACATTTCCCTTTCAGTTCAGACTTTTTTTAAACCCGTAATTTACTTAATGTCAAAAATAAAGTCACTTAAAATTCTAAACTCTGCCAATGGTGATCTCCTGTTTCTGAATGTTTGCACAATAATGATGA